GGGTGGGTTACTGGGGATGTGGCTCAGCGCAAAGGTGCTGGAGTCAATCCGCAGTACTGAAGAAAATTTCCACAAAGTAAGCTGGTTCAATCTGAGAAACATATTACTTGCTTTAAAAGCTTTATAGTAAATGTTGGGAAATGTTTTAAAGTCAGACTTCACATGCAATCAGTTGCTCCTGTCCTTTCTCTTTGGGAGCTACCTAGTGCTGCTCATGACTTTTTAAAAATTAACTGTATTGGTACATTTTAGGTGTACTATACCACTACATTCATCATTGGGAATTCGTACCTTTACATGATTTATCTTTTTTTTTCCCCATTCCTCTGCTCCTCCCCATTTACAAAGAGTTTGTTTCTGTTTTTCTTTTTCTCATAGCCGCAAAAATGGGAACGGGAACAACAGAAACCACTAATCTTCAAAGTCAAACTTGATTAAGCAAAATTTTTTAATTCTATTTGGGACAGTAAACGTTTTTTCAAGTTCCTTTATGCAAAGCCTGGAAATATATGCACATAATATATTATGTGGACAGCACGGAGACACTCAGTAGATGAGATAAACACACAAGCACATTCACTCACAATACACACCCCACCATCAGTCACCAGCATGTTAGCAGTTCCTTCTGTACACACATCTGTGAAATGCCACTGTCAGATAAAGAGCACCAAGCGTGGAAATCTTTCTCTTTGCTTCTAAAGGGTAAAAAACAAAAACAAAAACAAAAACACACACCGTCACACATACGGGATACATCACACTGAAATGCTTTAGTAATCTACACGCTAGTATATCCTCTTTCAAAGTTTTAAAACTTGGTATACTTGAGAATCTCCAGAATATGAATGGCAGATTTCATTAAATAGAGAAATGTAGGACCACATTGTAGGGAGAGAAAAAAAAATACAAGGTCCTTCTGAAAATTAAATCCCATAAGCAATGAAGGTGAATTTCTGTATTAGTTATTCCACTGAATATAAATTCCATTGAGAAAGTTTTATTCTACAGCACTACCCTGCCACTTGATTTAACAATGCTTTTCTTACTGTTAAGACAACAAAAAAAAATGAGTTACACAATGAAGAATATCAATCATATTCTTTCTCAGAAAACAGAAAATAACTAGGACTTTAACTTATCAAGTGGAAAAACAACAAAAATAACTGGAAAAAAGTCTTTATTGAAGTAATTCTAGTACAACCAATACAAAACACTCTCCACCCCTAAAAACCCACCAACACTATACTGCAGTTAAAAAAAAAAAAATCAAATGAATCCTTTTCAAGTATTTCTAGTTTCACTTTGAGGCAGCCTAAAAAAATAAACACTGTAACGATATCTTAATGAAGGATAATTTTCTAAAATCCCAACTGTTATACTTAAAAGGTCAGAGTTGCTTTTATATTAAAAAAAAAAAACCAATGAAATCAGCTTAAAATAAATTTATTGTACAATACAAAAAGAAGGCAAACTGGAAAATAAAGGTACATTATTAAATATACAAAGCAAATGAAAGAAAGCGGAACAACACAAATGTTTCAATCCAAACACTAAGATAAAATGCACAACATTTAAGCTAAAAACAAAATATTTTCAGGAGAATATGCATTTCAAATGAAATGTTAATGATGCAAAAAAAAGAAAAAGAAAGAAAGAAAAACAAATATGCTATCTTGTAAATGCTTGAATATCAAGAATCAGTAAAGGCATACAACATCAAACCCAACAATACTGGGTACTTTTCAATAACTTCATTTGAAAAAGCATTAGAAATACTGAGGGAATTAAAAACTGGCAAAGTTTTTTGCTGTTGTTGTGGGCCTATTCACAATATTTTACCTCTTCTCCCATTTATACCTTCCTATAAAAATTCCTAGACACTTGTTTTTAACAACATTCTCTAAACACAGGAGCCTGGATAACCGTATTCATTCCTAAGTGTGTGTTTAAGACTTAACTTACAGGAAGTGCCATAGATTAACTTAATTTTGAAATCTGTACAAATATGCACACAAAGTGAAAACAATCTTTACTTTAGAAAGACCAACCTCTGAATGAAACAGCAAAATATACCTATTTTGAGTACAGTGGAAAACATAAGACCTTCCTTTTCAATAAGGCATTCGGGTATGTGACTCACAATGGCCCTGAGGGAACCAACACCAATGCAACACCTCTCTCAGGTGCAGAGGTGGCAGAGGCGTGAGACCAGCCAGGTGGGATATGCATCTGAGAATTAGAGGAACACTGAAGGAGACAAAGTCCTTGGTAAAATCCTCTGAAAGTTAACGGCTTAAGTATTTAAACTGAATACTTAAATTAGCCCCAAAGGCTTGTGACCAGCATCTCTGGGAGGGAACTTCTTTCCCATGATTGTCCTCAAACTCGGGACACCATCTGAGTAAGACCTTTCCTATCTTTGCAATGGCATCTAAAGCACTCACTGAAGTTTCCTCTGCTACACAGCATTTACTTTCACGGACTGCCCCACCACATGCCCTCACTCTAGGGGAAACCCGGAGAAGTGTGTGTACGGAGGAAGGAGAAACGTGAATAGGTCCCACAAAACTTTACAACCACTTTGCCAAGACATTTTCAAAAGACTGTGCATAATTATTTGAAATCACATTATGTAGAACCTATGGTTCTCCTTTTAAAAACAAGTTTTGATTCTCAATATTGCAATTTTATAACCGAGCAAAAGGATTCAGATCTAACAGATACTTTACTTAAACTCATTTCCTAAATTGTCAAATAGAACAAACTGTTATAATATAATCACAAAAGAAATATCTGTTAGCATCTATGAAATTATGAAGGTAATAAAATTATTTAAAAGCTAAAAATCAAAATTTCCCATTCACACTTAAATATAACAGAAAAAGCTATGTGGGTGATATGAAAATAAAAATCCATGCCAAAGACACTCCTTGCCTCTCCTTCTGAGTAACTACCCATTATAGCTTTTTAACAATGGGGCGTGTCACTCTCTCACACTTGAAACTCTTGGGCTGGAACAGTCAGTCATGTTAAGACATTACTGTGCACATTAACTCTTACAGCCTACTGGGGTTGCAACGTGAAGAAGCAAGATCTATTTAAAGGCCTGATAGTATTTTAAATAAATTTTTAAAAATTTAAAGCCTATCACTAAAAATGACATACGTGTAAACAAGCTAATTTTATAATCAGTTATTTTAAATAAAATAATTTGGAATTCACTGCAGTGGTAGCCTGGTTCACAAACTTTGATTTGTTCCACAATTTTAGAAAAGAGGGCCGTATTTGTGTTGTGTGGGTAAGATGGCCATGGTGGTATCTGTCACCTGATGCAGTTTGCAGACAAGAACAAAATTTTGCCAAGCACTTTGTGAACACAACTGTTTGCAAACAAAAGCCTTCGTGAAACAAAATCCTACTGCATTTTGCCTCTTTTTATTTCTGCATTTAACATGTAAGTACTTTCTACTGTCACTATCAACATCAAGTTGGTTTTAAAACTGGAAAAGATAAAACAAAATGCAACAAAACTTACGAATTCAATCTGTGAGTTTTAAAACTAAGAAATAACAATGGATTATCTGATTATACTTAAAATTTTAATTATATGAAGAAATTTTTAATTTTCCTTTTTGCATTTTTAAAAAATAAAAGTTGCTTCATTTACTTGTAAATACCCTTTAAATACCAAAAATCTATTTTCTTCATACAAAGATTACAAGGAAAAAAAAGTTTTGTGGTTCCAGCACCACAGTTGAGAACACACACACAAAATAATCAAATAAATACTTCAAAAAAGCTCAAGATGTCTGAAAGGTTAAATGAAGAACATTTGAAACTAGGACCCATTTCTTTAGCTTTTTTCTCCCAGACTTTCCATTCTATACACTACAGTTGTAGAGATGTCCTCATGTGACTCAGGTGACACTTTTTTCCATACTGTCTCTTTTAAAGCAAGTTCTTGTTGGAGACTTTCATAGTCCAATGGTCCAAAGGAATGCTAGTTGTTCAAGCAACATACATAATTTATTAGTGCACTTGAGTGAAGACAGGTCCAAGCTACAAAATGGTATTTGTCAATGAACGTTATTACAATCTGTCAACATTTTCACTTGGCATCCTGCTGCATTCCACGTTACTCAGGCTGACACCTACCAAAGTTTCTACTCTGTCAGCTTTGCATAATCCTCATGTTACCACAAGTTACTTTGACTGAGCAAACAAAAAATTTAGTTTGGCACTAACAGAAATCCACACAGTATGTATTCAAAGTACTCACTTCTTACAAAAGCATCGGCGTGTAACAGGGAATGTTACTATAAACATTTTCCACGTGGGATGCAAGGGAACTCAATTAGCATTCTCAACAAAAGTTCCTGGTCTAATGAAAATAGTTCCAAGAAAGAGACACACACACACACACACACGTATGTACATATAACAATATGAAGCCAAACATTGTGATAATAGGAGTATTTTAAGGATATGAGGAAATACTGCTTAAACACCCACTCTAAAAAATTTTTTTAAATCTACAGTGGCCTAAAAAAATTCTTTTAAGGCTTCATAAGGTCTCTCATTAATATAGTAATACCTTCCCCTTTATATAATCATCTGTTCAAAAAGTAGGCGATAAGTTTAAACAAGTTTCAACTAAAAATTGTAACTACAAATATTAAAAGTAAAAATAAGGCTTTCTTTTTAATATAACATGTAGCACTTTCCAATGTCTTCTTTCAACAGAGTCAATTCTAAAATTCTTGCTTAAAACAGCAGAAAACCAGCTGATGCCCTTTAGGCTATTTCCAATTTAAATAAGAAAACAATATTCATACCTTTGTACTAGTGAGTGGGGATTAAAGTCAGTTTGTTTACACTCATTTCAGGACTGGCAAAAACATGAGACCACTAACAGACTCAAATCTTATTTAAACAAGGAAATGTCTCTTTCTCTTAAAAGAATGCTACAGAATAATCTAAGAAAGAATCTGGCTTACCCTTTGATCACCACCTTCTCTTCGAGGATCTAGTTTTTTTGCAAAGTGCCTCAAGTTATCATAGTTATGGAAATTACACAAAGAAACAAGATCCTGTAAAAAAGTTAGAGAACAGATGTAAGATATTAGCTATTCAACTGCTATGTGTTCACATTTTCACAAACTGCTTATTACTGCCCAGATTCACTACTATCTCACAGAAACTACCACTGTATGCTAATCGAGCTCACAGTACATCCGGAGGGGGACTGAAATCTGAGTAAGGTACAAGTAAGTACAAGTCCTGAGAACATTCTCACCAGGAGACCCTAGGGCCTAGCTGGGGAATTCACTTTCAATTTCTAACAGGGTCTACCATAACAAGCCACATGAAGCCACAAGAATCCTACGTGAAATAAGTATAAAGTGCCATAAAATACAAGTATTCTGGTTACAAGCTATCACAATTTACTTTATATATAAGCCAATGTCACTCTGTAATTTTTGTAGAACATGGAAGACTGAAAAATAAATGAGAATTTTAATTGAAAACGGCTACAGAAAACACTTTGGTACTTTATATAGACTCAGAAGTAATAAATGTAAATAAAGTAAAAAAGTGGAATCCTAGCAAAATCTGGGATGACAACGAATTACTGAATCAAGAGTAATAACCAATGTTTTTAAGATTTTATTTCTATTTTTATTTGCATATTTTTCTTAAGACTTTTAGAGGTAGTTAGCAAGTGAACCTATTAAACTATTCATATTAAAGATGACATAATAAACTGTAATTCTTAAAATGTTTTGATTTTAAATTGCCTCTCTATTTTTATTGGCTTTGAAAACCAAATTAATTGCAACTATGATAATTAAAACATAAACATTGAGGACCCGGATTTAGCTCAGTGGTTCTGCTGCCTGCCTGGCAAATAAAAGGTCCCGAGTCTGATCACCCATCACTGGTACCAAAAAACAAACAAACAAACAAACAAAACATCCAACAAATGTAATATTTTGTAAGGATAATTAAATGGGAGCTGTCTGCGTCTCTATGAGTTTTTCCTTGGCTATCCAGTAACGGGCACACAGGCAGGCTAAGTATCAAGCCAATAAACTACGGAAAACAGGTAACGAAAGTATCAGTGGCTGTCTCAATCCTGTGGTTTTTACTTTAAGAAAATCCACTTACATGACAGAAGTGAATCCCTTTAACACTGTTGCCCATCTTGTCCAGAGGAGGAGACCAGCACATCATGCCCATGACATTCGGGACAACTAAAAGAATGCCTCCGGCAACTCCAGATTTGGCAGGAAGACCAACCTAAAAATAATTCAGTAGAATGGAGATTCATGTAAACATTCTGAAAGACAGACTGTCATGTTCAATCATTGGGGAACTGGCTAAAAAATCATAAACACATACAAGACAAGATCAGAAAAAAATGTAAATACTTATGGACATGTTTTTACTATGGTGAACACAAAGACAAGTTATAAAACAGTTGGGGATATATTAGAATACAGAAAAATTTTAAAAGACATTCTAAGAAGTGGTAACATGTATTGCTTTTATACAGTCATTTTCAAAAGAAACTTATAACTAGGAAACACGGAGAAATTTTATCTTCTTAAAAGACTTTTTCTGGGTATACTGCACTGTCCCAGAAAGCTCTTACGAGCAAGACAAACAGCAATTCAAATCGATACGTTTCAAATGGTGAAGGGTAAATTAGCACCATCAGAATAGCCATTCAGAGAGAGTGTGCTTCTCTCTCCTCTGCAGGGGATGGGAGTGGGGTTTACTGAATCCAGGTCCTCCATACTGAGCTGCATCAGAGTCCTTTATTTTTTATTTTGAGATAGTTTTGCTAAACTGCCCAAATTGGGCTTGAATTTGCAATGCTCCTGCCTCAGCTTTCCAAAGTGCTGAGATTACAGGCATGGGCCAACTCAGCCTGGCTATAAAGTACTTCTTGACAAAAGTAAACCAATGAGGCAATCTTGCACAAAACCAAATAAAATAAGCCAACAACAATAACAAACCCTATCTCATTTGGATCTAACAATTTACAGGAAAAATATAAAGGACAACAGAAATGGATGTAATCAGTAAAATCTAAACTGTGAGAAATTATACAGTATAAAAGATAGTCTTTTCAATAAAAAAGAAGAAAAACAGATTGAGGGGAGAGCTATAGGTTAAAGAGATGCCAGTCACAATGCATGGTCTTCTGTGTCATACAAACCGGAAAATGAAATAATCATAATTTATAAAATGATTCGGGTAATGTGAATGCTAAATATGTTAATATTAAATACAATGATACTAAATTTAATTTTAAATTTAGTGATACTAAATTAATGATAATAGGCTGGGGATTTAGCTCAGTGGTTCTGCCGACTGCCTCGCAAGCGCAAGGTCCTGAGTTTGATCCCCGGTACAGGAAAAAAAAAAAAGAATGATCTCAAGTGTTTTAAAATTTTAAAAAAAAGTGTTTTTTATATATAACAATGGTGCTGTTAAGTGGGGGAAGTGTACACACAGATGAAACAAGGTTTGTCATAAATACATAATTATTTTTCAAGTTCAATATGCTTGAAAATTTCTAAAAGGCACTGTGACATACTGTGAACAGGATGCAACAAGAGAAGCCTACACTTTACACTCCACAAGCCACATGCAAGCACAAGGACCTGAGTTCAATCCCCAGTACCAAAAAAAACAAAAAAACACTCCACAAGCTGCAAATGCATGATAGAACGTGAAGTACATTTTTAAGTTTTAATTAAACTTTACAGTCCTTTAAAACATCTATGATTGCAGCCAAAATGTCAAACACTATATTTATGCCCTCTTTTTGAACTGGAGGAATTTTTCAAGTATATATGATCCTCATAATGCTGAACATTTTCAAGGAGAAGCAGACAAGTCTATACTAACCTTGTACCCTGAAGTGCCTCAAAAACACCTTCAACATAAACTTCCAAGTTCTTTAGAACGTGTGGTACAGTTTAATCCCATTCCTCAACAATTTGTAACAAATTAACCTTAAAACAAGCCTCTCTCAAAAATTAATACAGTTTTCTAAGCAAAGTTCAAGCTATATTTTTAACAGAACCAGCCCAGACTAGTTTCTTGTTAGAGAAAATTAAGACTAGTAAACACTTACATGAAAAGCAAACTGCCCTGAGAAGTCATACATGCCACAGGAATGCATCAAACTCAGTGTGTTCCGAACGGCTTCGGGACTCAGTACTCTTTCGCCAGTGATCGGGCAAAAGCCACCGTTGGCCAGGGTTGCAGCCATCACACTGGCTGATTCACAAGTCACTTCAATGGAGCAGAGCTAAAGCAAAGGAAACAGCCAACACTGAAACGCCGGGCTCTTAGGATTTTCACAGTACCGTAATTTCCAAGGTGATCTATTCTGATACTCTACACAGATCTGAAGTATTTCTTCCAAAGGGATGATTTTTAGGCAACTTGATGACATTCCAAAGATAGATTTATCCTAATTTTTAAATTATTTATAGTGTTTCAATGAGAACTAGGCTAGGATGAGCCAAGCTCCTAAGCACTATGATTTATTATTGCCTTATGTGATATTCAAATGTGCTTAAATATCAATGCTTCTAGGAACACATAAGCATAATTATTGTTAACACACCAGAAAAAAGCCATGACATATTTTTCAGATAAAGCAGCAAACACCAGCATCATTATAAAGACCTACATGAGAAATGACCACCACCTTTGGGGGAAAAGTGCTAGAATGGCAAACATTTCATTTCACTAACAAAGCTCAGTACCCACCTTTATGTAAATGCAAGGGGAAGGAAAAGATCTGAGCTCCACCTCAGCGCTCGATCAGGCCAAACTCGTCCTCTTTCAGACCTTTACTAATATTTACTCAATATTTACTGTGACCGGATAGATCATTTTGAATGACAACAAAGAGAGCCCAGGTACACCAAGATGGAATTTTTGGACTTAATCAAACTAATGGAAATAGTTTATCACACCAAACTCAAATTTACCCATAAAACTAAAATAATAAATTGATCCATGTTTCATTTTTAATTAACAGAAGGCAAAATCAGGGAGTGGGAGGAAAGGAGAAGGAAGAGGATAAAACTAGGCCCTCAAATTGTGAACCTTCCTTAGTCACACTACAAGATCTACAAAGGAGCTTGAAGACATCAGAAAGAACCTTACTGTGAATTCGAACACAGTTCATGTAGTTTTGATTGCCTTTCCCTTTTGCCTTTGATACTTTAAAAAAATTCTCTTTCCTATTTCTCCAAAACCTCAGAATCTACTCATTTATATTATCCAGGATGATGGTAAGCAAAAGCTTTTAAGGCTAATTTAATCATGAAAAGCTTTCTAAAAGAAATAAGATTTAACTTTCAGCGGCTGCTTTAAATTCATGGTTAGGAATAATTGGAATTTTGTTTATCACAGAGTGACACTGTCCGAATTTGACAAATGCAGCTTAGGAATATTCTCCTCACAGGGTGAGCGGTCACTTGATTACTGTTCCCTCCTCCAAAATGACTGTCTTGCTTTCTGTCCTGAAGTACAGAAATTTCACAGAAGAGTAGAATCTAAGCTTTAATAGCCAATTTGGGGAAAAAATTTATATGGGCTAGGGAAAAATGAAGATTATTAGATAAAAGAATAAACACTACACTGCATTTCATATGACTTTATCCATTTCAAAGGAATTTCACGCATACTTTCTCAGTTACCTTCAATACAATGAAGCAGTTTAAGTGAGGCCTACGCTACCTAGTGAAACTGGGCTCAACAACTAAAATTATATCACATGGCTAATGAATAATAAATGGCAGGCTAGATCTTAAATTTTATATTCATAGTCTAGTCTGGATTCTCAGTGCATGGCTTTTCACAAACCATTACCTATTCAGTACTTGCATCATGATCTACTTCAGTAAACTCTTCAAAAGTAAAGAGGCAAATATGAGGTGAACCAAGTATTAAAAATAATGTAGCCCACCAAACAGCATCTTACTAAAGCCAAGCAGAGGCACTAAGGGTATTAAATCTGTACCAATAAACCAACTGAACAAAGGCGGGTAGGCCCTTTTTGTTTCTCCAGAAAGCTACCCTGAATGTAGGGGCTAATCATGCAGACTGTGTGCATGGTGCCCTGCCGCTCTACAGGAATACTAAGAACTACTCTAATTCCGAAGAAAGCGTACTGTGAGCTCAGAAATTATTCTTCTAGCACTAATTAAGCCAGGACAGAGCAGTGACAAAGATCACACAAGACAGCAAGTCAGCTGAGAAACTGACAGTTTGAAATGCTGAATATAAACACTCTACCAAACAAAATACAAAACAGAGTTTATAATCGGGGAAGAGTGTTTCTGGTACTGTATGTCACTTCCTATATTTTCAGGAATGTTTTCTTACTCTATTCTGAGGCATCAAGTTTTAGGAGATACAGACATGAAACTGCATTGCAAAGAATATTTTTTTAAGTCAATGGGAAAGTGTTTTCTCATGGCCTACAGTCAAAATTTCAGAGACATCTATATTTTGTAAAATGTGACACACCTATTTATATACAGTTCACAAATTGAAGTAAATTACCTGGAAATAAAAGTCTAGTATTCCCACCATGTCTGTGCCTTCTGGAAAACACTGAAAAAATACAAAAGCAATTTAAAATATAGGCCTACAGGAAAAAAGTATACACATAAATAAATAAATAATGTTAAGATTAAATTTAAAACAAAGTGTTTCATCTTAATTTAGAACAGTGTGATGTATAAATGTGCAAATATGAAATAAAGTAAAATTACATCCCATTTTTATGACTTTCCATATACAAATTTAAGTGGAAATGATGCACTGATTCATAATTCATGAATCAAATTATTGGATCAGTCACTTTAAATTTTAAAAATTAAGGGTAATCAATACCAATTGGGCATTATATTTCTTTTAAAAAGCACTAAACCTAGAGCATAATTGCATTAATATAACTAGTCAAATATTTACATACAATGCAATTTAACAGTAACATTAACAATTGAGTAACACTGACTTGAGAGCTTTGCAAAAACGTCAGCATTTTAAATAGTAATAGTTATAGGCCACTGTTCTCAGTGATACTTCAGTTGTCAAACTCAATCTGCTCCAAATTTGTGTTCAAACATGGAAAAATCGGAGAACCGAACATATTTTCTTCCATAAGAAGTGACAGAAAATCAAATCACTGGTTCTGAGGCCCACAATTGCACAAGTACATTACGCTGCTTGGCGAGAGGGGCACCGACCAAAACGTGGCCCCTTCAGGTGCTCGCAGGACGTGACCCAACTCACTATCCGCCCAGACAGCTTTTTCCAAGTAGGATTTTTGGTTGACTATGGAGCAAAGTTATTACACAGGAGATTTTTTTTTTTTTTTGTGAACTTCGCTGTTTGAGAGGTGGAAAGTTTAAGCTTGGAGCCGTGTGACATCAGATGTATCACTGTAATCATATTTTATTAATCCAACATAGAAGCAAAAATTTAAAGACCTTCTTTTCTTTCAAGTAGTATCCTATTGCAAAATTTCGATCTCCACTTTCTCTTTCAGACTGAAACCTGTAAGAAAAAAAATGGATGATGTTGTTCAATTTGTATAGCAAAGTGCAGTATAAAGAAACACTGCTGAGTGCTAAGTGCTAGTCTCAATTCTGTCACCAGACTATTTATGTGCCCCAGGGTAGGTCACTTAAGGGGTCATTTTCCCAATATTAATCTTCTCAGCTGTAAAAGGAATAAAAAATGAATTCAGGTTATTTTTAACCTCACATTTTATGAACGAAGTAGCTAATTTTAAAATTCTCAAATATTTCACCATTAAAATATATTGAAAATGTATAGAATCCTCTGGCTTCCCCAGAAGTGCACTAAACAGCTAATTCCAACTCAGCAACTCCACAGAAACTTCAGTGAGAAAGGGGACCACAACTCACTGGATGAAGAGATTTCAGGGGAAACCTAGGCAGGTTCCATGCAGCAAGAACAAAGTGATAAAAGTACAGAAGATGGAACTTCACCACAAAATGGCATATAATGACGCATTTAGGAAACAGTGCATCAAACTAGCAAAGAAGACTGGGACCAAATTAAGGCCTGTGAATGCCAAAAAATGTGGAATGGTACCTGACTGTGCATAAAGTTACTTGCGAGATCTACATTTTAGAAGGTAACATTGACATCAGTTTCAAAAGGGAAAAAAGAAAAAAAAAAATGCGTGCTTTATTAGAAGACTACTACAGAAAAGGGAGTTGCAGAAAGTCCAAAGGCAGGCAGTGGTGACAGAACGGAAGGGCGTCCAGTAAACAAGAGAGCAGCTGGCTAAGTCTTCTGCACTGAGCAGAAAAGGAGAGACAGGATAAGGTCTCAGACCAAGGCTGGACTTCAAGTGTGGCTTACTGAGAGGACGACAGAACTGACACAGGGATCCCTGGAGCACAGAGCAGTTTGGGGGAAGGAGGACTTCCATGTGGACAGACTCAGCAGAAAGGAGACCGGCAACACTGAGGACTGTGCGGTGACGCTCGACATTTATGAGGTGCACAGCCCCTTCTAACTGCACTGTAACACTTTTATGGCCAGAAAAATATGGGATGTGGAGTCAATGTCACCTTGTCATGCTTTTTAAAAAGTATCAACACAGTACAGATAAAAGGATTATCCTCACAGTTATCAGTGCCTCGGCACAGTGCAGTTCATCCCACACTGTCTCACTCTCACGGACCATTGATTATGTGCCAGATAGCAGGAATGAAGCGGGACACACCACCACCTACTCTTCAGCAACCGACAGTGATGTGAAAGACAGAATAAGCTTGGGAAAATACACAACTTATTTTATCGGGAGCACGGAAAAGGTGAGACGAGACTCCTGAAACCCTTCTGGGAAGGATATGCAGGCTGATGAGCAGAAGTATTGAGTTCCAACAGAGACCAAGAGGCCCACATACTACAATATTCACCGTCTGGCCCTTCAAAGAAAAGCTAAGTCAATCCTTGCTCTATAAAACAAGGGGATTGCACTCTTAAAAAAACAAAAACACTTTAAATAAAATTTTTAAAAAGCAAGTATCTAAGGAGGACTATTCTAGTAAAAAATAACAAATGTAATGCATAAATCTTCATTACTTCGTGAACGAAAAACAAAACCTGTAAAAGCCACTAAAACTAAGGGCACTAAAGGAAACAGTGCTGCCGTATTTTAAAATTAACATTCTTAGGTGTGTCACCAGTGTGGTTATGTACGATAATGTTCTCATTCTTAGGATGTGCATGCTGGGTGATTCAAGGGAAGCGTCGCACTATCTACAAACAAGTTTCAAATGATTCAACAACAAAAAATAACTACATACACATAGGTCTACATATATGTGTATGGAAAAATACACATAGTTTTTCTATATGAAAAGATTGACAAAAAATAAATGAGACAAACTACAAATCAGAAAATATCAAGATGGAAGAGATCAGATATTCATTGTTTATCCTTTAAATATTCTGTAGATGGCAAATTTCAAAAAAAAAAAAACAGGGGCAAAAATCAAATCAGACTGGGACAGAGCTAAGAGAGATAAACTACAGGCAAAAAAACTGAAAGAGCACTAGAAATCCGATGAACTTCGGCTTCCTTCTGATTATGAGTAGATACAAGAAATTTATTACAAATACCATACCTTACACAATTTTTTTTTTTTGGTACGGGGGATTGAACTTGGGTCCTTGTGCTTGCAAGGCAGGTGGCAGAACCACTGAGCTAAATTCCCGGCCCCCTAACACATTTTTAAATGTTCCTGTTGGGTAACTTAGAAATCGTTTCTCAGAAACTGTTTTTCTCTAGTGACCAAATTTTAAGCAACTGTTTATTTATTCACTGAAGTCTCAGGAACAATAAGAGAGAGAGCACATTAATTCTAAAAACAGTATATGTACATGTACATGAGAAGCAACAAATCGATAGTGAAAATAAAACTGTATAATATAGTTTTTGTTAGAGTTTTGACCAACTGAAAAAGCCTAAGTTACAAATTAGACTCACGTGGCATTACTGAATCCAACATATTCATTACCAGCCATCTTATTCAAAAACTGCATCACCTATGAACCCAAATTAGGTAGTATTAGTAAATAAAAAACAAATACATAAATAATATAGTATGAAAACAGAATTCTATGTTGCACTTACATAGTCAAATTTTTCAGCATTATTTACTCCTTGCTGCAAAGAAATTAGAGACATAAATATGTTAATATAGATACCACTATGGTTAAATTTTAAACTAATATAACAAAACCTCAAACTGCTACTATTATAATATACTGCATTAGTACTTTTAAATCTAGGAAATACTTCTAGAGTAATAAACTTTTTTACATGTTCTTTCACATCCATATATTGAGAAAGAAAATCAAAATTACAAAGGGAATGCTTTATTTTAAGTATTATTTTACTCAACCCAAAGTTACATAATTTTAAATACAAGTAACCCAGAAAAAACCTCTCATCATTCATGTCAGCACATAATCTAATACTGATGGATGGTATTTAGTTTCATATTTTTAAAAACTTAAAATAAAGTTTCACCCTTAAGAAATTATGTATATATGTCAAGATCCTCAAGAACAGTCTATATTTTTTGAGAAATCCCATAAACCAATATTAATCGAGTTAGAAAACTGAGTTACAATGCAAAACTGACTAATCTTTTGTAATTCTAGAATAGGCAAACATTCTGGATATATTTTAGTTGGGGAGATAGCTCTACTCTTAATATCTCTCCTTGTACAAGGCTTCAAACTAAAAAATGTTATATTTCATAGTCTCTAAGAAATTAGCTAAATTAGCTAGTGTTATTTAGCATTATGCTAATTCAGAGTGTGGACGATGTATTGTTTCATCACTCCTATTTCTGACATGTTATCTACTTCAAATGTCAATAGGAAAAAAAACCTATGTAATGTAGATCAGTTCAAGTAGCCAGATGGTTTCATTTTACCTCGGCGAAGTTTACAAAGCAGTAAGCTGTAGATCTGAAATCAAACGTATTAATTGGTGATATGCACCCAATAGAAACAATACATCTCTAATTTCTAAAACAGGCTTAAAATAATTTGACAACTAGTCTTTAAAAACAATAATTCACCCTAGAAAAATCCAAAACATTATATTTTGAAATGTTACTATGGGTGCAGGGGTAGGGTGGAGGGGGACTTGTTCCAGATTATAATAAAGCCAGGTTTTTTTTGTTCCACTTATGAGCAGATCGAGGTATGGGTAATAAAAGGTAAAACTTTACAAATCAACTTATTTAAGGCGTGCAGGCACACACATCAGTAACTGGAAGGAACGCCACACTATTTCATCAAAATGAGGCATTAACAAAAATAAGGATAATTTAGCACCAGCCATATTGTAATCTCCATTTTCACTAAAGCATCCTTTGACATATTTTAAGTTTTCTTTTCTTATACTAGAAATCAAAATGTAGAAATGTTACTCCAAAGCTGTTCAATGAAAAATAATTAAAAGAAGAAATTACCAACTTCATTGAACTGTTGCAGTTGTCAAAATATTCCATAGATCCTAATGCTGTAAAATATGTAACAACATTTAAGCCACAAAAACCTTTTCAACCTTGGGGGGGGGGAAAACTTTCGGAAAAGGATGTTGGTATTTGCACTGAATGTCACATAAATACTGGTTATACAATTAATCAATGGAAATATACAAGTTATATTGAGCTTTTTTATTCTCTGACCTAAACTGTGACTGCAAAACTAATACATGCTTTTCTTATTGAGATATCATGCTTAAAAAACCATTTCAACTCTAGGCTACAGTCACATATTTGGTCTGTTTTGTGGCTTTACTAAATTAAAACAATAACATTTTGCACTTACATTATTTTTAAGAAACAAGTGATATTTACCAATATTTATTATTACATACTACTTTGGGTAAGCTGCTCAAAATGCTCTAGGCAAGTTATATAAATAGGGCAAAATAAAATATTGAATAATTATGTAGATTAAAGAATGTTTCATCCCCAAACTTCCCGTTTAAATGTAAAGACATTACACAATGCCTGTTCTCAGTATCTACAATGGAAATGTCACTTCAGTTGATAGAATATAGCCACCTCTGTCTCTTAGAAAGACTTCACATACCCTGGGAATATATGGAATCTGATAATTATTAAGATGTTACTTTAATTTTGAAAAAGTTACAGTAAGAAGGTGCTCTGCATAACTCATAGGATAAACCACACATTTACATACAAAGTAAGTTAGAGTAAATCCTCTCTATCCAAGAAAGAATAACTGAAAACAAAACCAAAATCTTATGATCATTACCTCATTATTAGTGGGGTAAGAGGGGTGGAGGAATAAATGTTAACAAAAATTGAAGCTAAAATGGGTACACAGGGGCTGGTTATTGTTTATTGTATATATGTTTGAATTTCTTCACAGTAAAAAGTTAAAGGAAAAATACTAATTAAATAATTGCCCATGCTAGTTTACCAGGCTGTTTTCTTTATTTTTGTTCCTTTGTTCACTGATTTTTAGCTCATGCCATCAGTGGATATTTTCTATTGATAGAATGAAACAGGGTCTAATTCTCTTCCTATTTTTAATTCTTACAGATGTATGAGCTAAGAAACTTCACTTACAAAAGTAGATAGAAATAGAAAAAAATTCTTGCTACACCATCATTCAGTTATGTTCCTCTCTACCTCATTACATGTCGAAAGTCACAGTAATCTAGCCTCAGAAACTGTAATAACGCTACTATTAACTGACAACATGCTTACTCTTTCAAGTTTGCTGAAACCATAGAACTGGAATACAGTAGGACTTACTAGCAGTCACTACTATGATTCACACCCTCAATACTACTGACTTGTATTTCAGAGAGTTCTCTTCTGTTAGTGCCCAAGAGGTTTTAAAACCAAAAGCAGGGAATTGTAATAAAATTTGAGGCACAGAAGAAGTATTTCTTTCTTTGGGAAAATGGAAGGACATTAGACCAAAGGGCAGATTTATTTTTAAAAAGGTAGAAAGGTGGAACTCGTCTTAAACTAGCAATAGCCAAGGACATGTTTGTTCAAAGACTTGTTTGAAAGTCACGGTACAAGCATTAAAAAATACTACATTATTCTAATTTTGGAAAAGTTACAATATTTGTAGTAAATACTGAAGGAATTTCTTGAAGAAACTAAATTAGGCAAAATATATTTACCAAAATTTTGAATCCGTTCACCAAATGACTTTTAAAAGCAAACCACGTGATTTGTTTGAAAAGGTAGTCAGATCCTGATACTACAAAATCATACTAATTTTTCTCTCTGGAGCATGCCTGTCGTTTCAGAATCTACATTCTTTGAAAAAAAGTTGAGTGAAAATTTAATAAAGAGGCACCGAGTCACAACACTACTAAAAGAATACAACTATGTTGGATTGTCTTCACATCATTTTTACAACATATTCAGAAATTAATTCACATCACTTTTAACAAAGCCACTGTCAAAAATTTTAATATAAAAAATGGCTCACTTAAAGCTAATACATGACTCAGCTATTCTGGAAACACCTTGATTCCTTTAAGAAATATAAGTATAGCCCATCAAAAATTAGAGTTCACAGAGGAAAGAGGCAAAAAGAAATAACTGGTTATTGATTTTATAAAGCATGTATTCTTGGTTTAATCTAGCCACAGAAAACACTTTAAAGCTAAATAGTGGTAGGATAATTAAAAATGGACATTACATGTAAAAAATATTCTGAATCTAGTATTTTCAAAGATTAACCTTGGGCTGGGGATTTAGCTCAGTGGTTTCGCTGCCTGCCCTGCAAGCACAAGAGCCAGAGTTCGATCCCCAATACAAAATAAAAAAAGATTACCCTAAAAATAAAGTAACAGAACAGTGAATTCAGGTGACAAAAATCTATCACCAAAAACCCTCAAATCAACAGACATAAATATGAGACAAACAAGTGAGTAACAAACTACCTTCTGAGCAAATCTAACAGCTTGTTGCTAACATGACTCAATGGAGTGTTAAACATACATTAACGAAGTGTGTCTTGATTTTTCATGGAGTATGATTAAATTTAAAAACAAAGAAGAAAACCTCATTTTTTAAAAATTCAAAGCTACTTTTGATTAAAAAAAATTAATCTTCAAGGGGGCCAGGGATTTAGCTCAGTGGTGCCACTGCCTCTATACAAGCACAAGGTCCTGAGTTCGTCCCCAATACAAAAAAAAAAAATCTTAATTGATAAAACTGGAAACTACCACTACACTAAAAGGGCACACACATAAAAGATCATGTAGCTTACTTATGTCCAAAATAAAAAGAGCAAGAGTGGCAATTATTTTGTAGTATATTGCCCACCTCTAACCTCAAGACACCAAATTTTACTTTTTAAATTAAAACTAGGTGAAATTTTTATCACTGAAAAGAAAAATATTTAAATAAAGATACTGTTTCATATAATCATAACTAAGTTCCTTTCAAATTTACTTTTATTCTTTCCTTTAAATCAAGCAATCACACATTATCAACACAAAACAGACTGCAACAAAAAATATTCCTTTAAAGTTAGTAGCCATCATTTAGAAAGTGAGGTAGTAACCCTTATGTTTTTTAATTATGTGCAATTTTAGTATACAATGACATTTGTTTTTAAAAAGGTATTTACCTATATAGCTTTGTTTAAAATTTTAAATATTGAAGTTTTCCTATAAGCTTAGTAGTTAAGAATTTATGCAACAGGTTCCTTCTGTCCAAATCCTCCTTTTTCCACAATCTGCTAATCCTTTTGAACATTTGCTCTGCCTCTTCCCCCATTTCCTGAGGATCACCACCAATCCTACAAGGAAAAAATATCAATACTACAAAATTATGAAATAAAGAGTCTTACTAAAGACTCTACTTTTTTTTTTTTTTTTTTTGGGAGAGGAATAACACGAGGAAAATTGTCTTAATGGTATCATAAGGAAGCCCTGCAATTTGAACAATAACAAAAAAAATCATAAATAGCCTTAAGGTCAAAAGAAAACCTAAACAGAATTCATATCCAGTAGTCATGAGAAAATATCTACGCTTTGGCCACTCAAACACAAGCTCCTTGGGAAAAGACCGGTTTCATTCCAGATTCCAGGAACCAATTAACATCCGAAAGAATGACTATACACATGAACTGAAAAATAGTTCCAATTTTAAGCCAATACATCAGGATCTGTTGTATAAATTAAAATTTCAGAAAGTACTATTTTTGCTTCTTCTGGACAATATAACTATGCTAGCTAAGTCAAAGCTGTCATCAAGTGAGATAGCTAACACCTATGTAAAAATACGGCACAGTGAGTATGCAAAAATGCCAGGAGAATTTGCTTAAAGCCCAATTCTGCTGCTGTGATGATCTATGCAGTCTCAATCCCTATGGCATACAAAGTAAGAGGATTGGGCTTAACTACTTTTGTGAATCCTTTTGGCTATAGTTTTATTCAATTTTAAACCATCAACAATTTATAAATATTGTTATCACACAATTTGCAAAAACTGTATACAGGTGTTTATATGAGTTTTGAATCCTTTGTTTGAAAGATTCTAAGAAGAATTACATTCTGGGAAGTCGGTTTTCCTAGGGTTATGTCAGGCTTCCCCCTTCAAGATTTGTATAAAATTAAGTTTAAAAAAAAATAGCACTTGTAAAGCAATCCTAGAAACAAAACAAAAATTCAAAGAAAGTAAATTTATATATGAGTCACATCCAAAAAATCTCATTTCCAACTTTGCTAGTAAATATAAAATTTTGATAAGTTCAAAACCACGGATCAAATCCGTCTATATAAGATGACTCAGTAAAATTTTTGCACCATTGGGCACTGAACCAAACTTATACGTGCTTTAAAATTCTGTTTCTAATTGCTATTAATATGGTTCACTATAGATTAGGCATTATGACCAAAGATGGTAAATCAAACGAATGAAAAGATGCTGTGATGACCAGACATGCAATACTCACATGCAGCATTTCAATGTAGTTGATTACACCCATGAATCATTAGACAAAATGATTTCTAACTGTATCATGTTAAGGAAGTCTCCTAACTATTCACATGCACCCTTTCCTGAAAACTCTACTTTTCTATCAACGTTAATCTTTCCAGCCTAAGAGTTCTTAAACTTGGATTCATCGGTCATCTTCAAATGACCGATGAATCCCCTAAAATTAATTTAAAATTGTGGTCTGTGGATTTTTCTGGGAAGACCCAAAACTGGTTCAAAATCATTCTAGTATTTTTAAAATCAAGCATTAACACATAGTATAGTGATTTTCCTTCTAATTTGATACTTATTCATATCAGAATTATTAATGAGACTCTCAGCACATCATTAGTTCAATTCAATTAATAAAGGCACATCTCATTTGAATATGCCACACTACAGTCATTACCTAAAAGCAGAACTGTTATTTTGTACATAATTGCATTGCCATCTTCTATAAAAGTTTCCTTCACCTCAGAATAGCTTCTCTTTTGTAAAATAGCCATGAATAATTAGACATTATAATGGAGAAAGTGAAAGTTTCTATTGCTAGTTAAAATTAGTTGTATCTCAAATTATCTGCCTACAATATCTACTTCATTACAGTTATAAGAATGTGAGCCACTGTGTACAATTATTTGCCTCAAAATAACAACTAAACATACATATTCCTAAGATAGTAGTCTTCATTTGAAAAGTTTTTTTTTTCTTATAAAAACATAAAACCTGTGAAAATTAAGGCAGGATTTCTAGTATTCAAACTAGATAAATTTTTGTGAACTGGGTCAAGAGAATCATTTATTTGTGAATAGTCTGTGTAACCAGTGTTGAAAATCCACAGTAATGTATTTTCAATGCCCTGAGTTATTTTTCAGTCTAACTCGGAACAGACAGGCACAAATTCACTGAGAAAGTATATAAATGTTCTAAACACAAATGAAATTTAATATAAATGAAACATAATTAGGAATTTAAGATATAAATTAAAAATCAGAAAATCTGAAATTGTGATAGATATTAAAATTTATCACAATAGAACCATTTCGAAACACTTAAAACAGCATCACAACTGCCAATTATTAAGGTAAGTCAAAGACTAAAAAAACAACAACAAAAAAACAAAAAAAAAACCCCACAATGTAAACATCAAAACATGAGAAATATAACTTAATAATTGGAATAAGCCTTCCTTATTTTAATTGTGGCATGATTTAGGTAAAGCATATGAAATAAGTTCAAATTAAAATTGTGATTCTAGCTCATGAAAGTATAAAAGACTTGAGAATAGGCAATAGTAAATGTACTTTGTCTTAAACACAAACTACTTGAACAATTGTTGATATATAATATTCTTATATAATGTTAATAATAAAAAATATACAGTAAATGCTCTTAATTCTGTTAATATCTGCTCATTCCACAAAAGCTAAAAGGAAGAGAAAGAAAAAATATTAAAACTTTGAGAAGAAAAATCTCCTCTCCTATTTTTCAGCAGACTTCTTAAATTTTTCCTAAGTAAAGAAAGAGCCTGAGATTTATTGTCGGGATTTACAATGAAGTGAGTCATCTGTTTTTAAATTTGGCCTTGAAATTATGATGTTTTATGTAGGGATACATAAAAATCCTAAATCTATAGCCCAAAATTAGTTTTTTAACACCCAGAGAAAGCTTTTCATAGTCCTACATAAACAAGCCAAGATTCACTTTTCTGCCTTTGAGATTACAAAAACTTTACCAGGTTAAAAGGGAATGCCAACATTATACCTTTATTAATGAAGTCACAACAATGGCTCCAGCATTTACCATAGGGTTGTGTGGTTTATCTGAAAAATATAAAAGCAACAGAATTACTTCAAATACTTGGCACCATTTTCTTTGATGCATAGATACTTATCATAAACATGAACTTAAAAACTTAAGCCATCATCATGGTAGTTTTTAAGTTTTGTTTGAAGTAAATTACTTATCAAACCAGTATGACAGTGTCAGTGAATAGTAATATGAAAACACATCCACATTTCCAAACTTTGCCATTTTCTATGGTAGCTGTGTGACCTTCAGTGAATAACTAACTTCATTCTATTTCCCCTTCTTTCAATGCCGTAAGAGTTGTAATGACTGAATTAAAACACATGAAATGCTTAGAAGTATCAGATGCCAATTTAAATTTTCAAGTAATACTACTATATTAAAGATAGCTTTGGAAACCCCATATCTAACGTATCCTATTTTTGCTTTTTAAAAAATCTTTGTGTTTAATGTATAAACAAAGGACAAAACACTGACCAGTGACATATATGCCTATATTCTCTGTACTTCCTATATCTCGACAATAAGGACATATTTCTTATATAATTTTTAAATTTACTTACAATTTAAACTCATCAAAAATTCTACCTGTATTCTATACTGAGACAAGCTTCTAGCTAAACAACCTTGAGCTCTGGAAAATAGGGGCAGATCCTCAAAACATTAAACAGAGTTACCATATATAACCCAGCAATTCCACTCATAGGTATATAATCAAAAGAAAGAAAAATGTAAGTTCATACAAAAACTTGCATATGAAAGTTCACAGCACCATTATTGACAAAAGCTTAAAACTGAAAACTCAATCATCTCATCAACTAAAAAGAGATTAAGCGATGGGATCACTGATACAAACAGTATTATAAAAATGAGTATAACATTACAGACAAACCTTTAAAACATTAAAATAAAGCAATAAGAAAGGCCATATATGTTATTATTCCAGGTATATGAAATTTCCTAGCAACAGGCAATATACAGAGATAGAAAGTGTATTAGTAGTTGCCAGGGGTAGAGAGAAATGAGGAATAACTGTTAACGGGCACAGCGTTTCTCTCTGAGGGCAAAGAAGGTATTCTACACTAGACATGATGATGGCTGCCTATCTCTGAATACAGTAAAGGCCCTGAATTGTCCACTTTAAGTGGGTAAAAGTGATATGGCTTGTGGCTCATTAAAGCTGCTAAAATTTTTTAATTAAAAGAATAATTGGGAGATTTTAAAAGAATTGGCTGGGTAAACTATAGTCTACCAGTTTCCTTCAATGGGATTTAGAGGTTATGCTTAAAACTGTGCATTTTGGATTCAACAATCCCACTTCTGGGTGTATATACAAAGGAAACGAAATGATATAGTACCCCCATGTTCATTAGAGCCATTATTCACACAGCTGAGAGGTGAAATCAACCTAAGTGTCTATCAATGGGTGAATGAATATAAAAATGTTACTAAACACAATGGAATGCTACTTAGCTTTAAAAAATAAGAAATAATGTTATTTATAATAATGTAGAAAAAGTAGGAGGATATTATGCCATGTGAAATAAGCCAGGCACATAAAGAAAAATATCATATCACCTCACATGAGGAATATAAAAAGCTGAACTCAGAAACAGAGGAGAAAGGAGTTCCAGGGCTGCATGTGTGTGAGGGGGTGTTAGTCAAGGGATATGAAATTTCAGCTGGACAAGAGGAATAAGGTCAAGGCACCTACCAAGTGACAGAAGTACTAAGTTAGTTAACTGGGTTTTACACTGTAAAACTGCTGAGAAACAATTTAAGGGCTCACAATTACCTCACATTAACATGTTTTCAGGATGCTCTACCACTTGAATTGTATCCTTCCTAAACAAGTCAGCCCTGTCTTCCTCATATAATTAACCCCCAGCCAACACATACACTGCAGTCCCTGTCAATCACATGCCTGTAACAATGAATATAGTTTCATCAAAAATCTACCCTTGAAATTTTAAATATACAAGTGATCTTCATGTTGTTTTTTGGTGGGGTGGGTCTAAACCAAGACTCAAAAGCACAGAGGAGGTTCAGGACCTTGGAAGGAGTAAAACCATTTCTGCAGTAGCTTCAGGATGCAGTGTTGTCTCAAGCTTAGAAAAAGCTAAGGATGCTATGGCAAAACCTCTTGCTAAACTTTGTATTTCAGTTCTTCATATAAAACAGTGCTAAATTCTGGAGTTTTTACCATGTTGTTTCTTACACAGATGACAGCATCAATGAATCATAATTATTAAAACCAGACAAGAACATGGCAAACTACTACTGTAATATTAAGTTCATTTACCCTAAGCTCTCGTTTTGTGAAATAATTAACATCAAAATTCCTACATTTGTTATTTTCTATTCTTTAATCTTCAAAATCAATTCAATGGAATCAGCCTTTAGAATTTTTCTTATAAAATGTTTTATCTTAAGAATAATAGCATTAATTCTTTCTATACTAAATCTGGGTGTTAATGAGCTTCATGAAGTGCATCTGCTTGTGATATCCTTACTGAAGTTGCTAATTGAAGGGAATCTCCATAAAGTCAGAAAAAGATTATAGAAAGATAGGTAAGAAAATGTAATAGCTCTAAAACTCATAATTTCATTTAAAAAGCTAATAAAAATACGAGATTTTTTTAAAAATCCAGCAAGAAGGCACAAAAGCGTATTTTACAAACCATTACTGCAATCTTCGCTATTTTCAATTTTTAATTTTTTTTAAATTTAGTTTATCAGTACATGTGCATAGTACTTAATGCTGACATTCCTTGTGGAAAGCTGGTAACACATCTTAATTCTTTTATCAACTTTCCCGTCTCTCCCTTCCCCCTCCACCCATCTCTTGATACTCTTTCCCCTTTTTCTGGTACATGTTTGCAATATGTAATATTTACACATTCCTTGAGGCTAAAGATGAAGCTCAGCAGCGCCACACCTGCCTGGCAAGCCCAAAGTCCTGAGTTCGATCCCCCATACCAAGGGAGAAAAAAAATTGACATTCCTTGTGGGGAGTTGGTACATGTACAGAACACATCTCAGTTTCTTTTACTGACCCTTTATCCTTCCCTTTCTCCCTTCAATTCTTTATGCTAACTTAACAATCAGAAACTTTAGATATTCTTGAAAGATTAAAAAATAGAAACTAACCCACAGAAATAAAGTATAATCTAACTTGTATCAACTACATTAGGCTTAAAAAACTCTCTTAACCAATCAAACTAACTTACCCCCCTTTCCTTTTAAATTCCTGTAAAGTAATAAAAGTGGGAGTTGCTAACTACAATGCATGATAGTTCTTTGAAATATTAAATATTTAGGAGAGAGGAAAAACACCAAAAATACTACCTCAAAGTTTTAAGCACCAAACTTTTTCTTAGGAAAGTTTTAAAATACATACCATATAGAAAAGTAGAAACGATAGAACATGAATATATCGTGCACCTCTATTTTATATATCCAGTCCAGTCCAGACCTTTCCCCCAAGGGCAGCACAGGAACACTCAATATATAAATATGTTAAAGTAAAAATATCATTCCCTACTGCAATTTATTCACTGTGATAAAAACATGTCATCTCATTTCTTTGTGCCGCGTCACAGCACCCTGTATTTAATCCAACACATCTGCATACATTTTATGTGCCTATATGAGGACAAGAGCTCGTAACAATGCAAAAAAAATGGACTAGAAGAGACATAGTGCTTCTTTCGCCTTTGCCAAAGACAAGTGTTTAGCAGCAATAATTATCAACACAGTAATCATCACACCCAACTCTCCCACCTGCCACCCCTGCATCATTTTTAAGTCAATTCCAGACATTCTGAAATGTACTGCAAGATGTTTTCCTTACTGGTGGCTATAAAGTGAACTTCTTACTCCTTGCCGCCCTTCTCTCCTCACGCTACTGCCCTAATAGTAGAAAATGCCTAAAATAATCATTTTTAAAGTTAAGTGATTAAACTGACCCAATGGGAAATCCCACAAAAAATTTTAAAAGCTGCTGCTTTTATTTTGCTTCAAAAAAACTTCTTAGCTAGGCATGGTGCTGCACAGCTGTAATCCCAGCACTCAAGAGGAATACTGTGAGTTCACGGCCAGCCTGGGCTACACAGTGAGTTCAAAACCAGCCTGAACTACATGGTGAGACCTTGTCTCAAAAACAAAACAAAACAAACGAACAAAAATCCTTTCAAAACTAGATATACATAGAAAAATTGTATTTTTTTCTAACCAATTGTTGTGTAATTCTTACCATCTTCATTTAAGAACAGTTTGTTGAATCTCAATCCACTCGGCTCTTTTCCAACATAACGATGCACATATTCAGTTCCAAGATCATTGACAGCAATTGCATATTTCAAAGGTTTTACACAGGACTGAAGACAAAAGGGAACTTTGGTATCTCCAATAGAATGCCTATTAAAATTAGGATTTATAAAATAATTAATGTCAATCAAAACAAAAGTAATTGCATAAGTAGAGTTTTAATTTTACGTTAATTCTATGTTATAAAAACCTTCCCATAATTCAATTACAAAAATTCACTTCAGTGTTAAAAGAACAAATGTTTAAGAGGGATATTACTTTTTTAAAAGTATTCAAGTAACAGAATAGTTATTAGGCAAAGGGAAAATTTTTCAAGGGAGAGACAGTACTTCTCCCCTTACTACCTGTATTCGAGCCTATAAACAAGCCTTTTTAGAAATTACTCACCTTTTTTGTCCTCATTGCCTTAAGCTATGGCCACGCCAGGTCAGTTTAAGAGCTCAGTACTACTATTCTCCGACACTGTCTATGAAGGTCTCACATCTATGAACTACCTCTTAATTCCAGCTCCTTTAGAAGTTTTATAAACTAACACTACATTATAAGAGGCAGTCATTACTAACCAAGCAGTTAACAAAAGAATGAAAAGAAAGCTTTATATATTACCAAACTGAGGCATACACAACAAAGCAGACTTGGGAATGGTAACGCTCTGGCTGACCCCATAAGCTTCACAAGGGTCGAGATCTTCCTGTCAGCTCACTGGAGTTCACTGAATGCCTGGCCTGAACAATACCAGACACACCACAGGCGCTCATCATTCAGTGACACGAAGCATCATGAAACTGGGCACCATTAGTAACTACACCAGGCGGAGGTGAAACAAAACGTCAGACATCAAACAGGAACATCTGACCACGCCGCTTCAAAGTGTATGACAATAAAAATGTATGTGTCCAAGAGAGGTATATAATACTTTTCCTATCAAATATATGTATAATTTCTAATTCAGACTGGTAAACTTGATAATTATTCTTAAAAAAAAAGAAACAATCTTATTGCCTTTGAATTTAAAAACACCTGTGTTCTAGTTCCAAAGTCAACTTTTAGAACTTTACATGAAAAAACAAAACAAAACAAAACTAGAAGACAAAACTTTTAAGAGAAGAATCATGCAGGATTACATGATAGTATTTTCCTCTGAATTAAATTTTTTTTTTATTACATAACAAACTATTTCCTAATATGCAAAAGTAGAAAACTTTCTACTGGAGGGCCAGGGATTTAGCTCAGTGGTGCTGTGCCAGCCTTGCAAATGCAAGGTCGTGAGTTTCATCTCCAGTACTCCAAAAAAAAAAAAAAACAAAAAAACAAAAAAACAAAAAACCTCCTACTGGAATTTGCTCCATGGGACAAAGCCATGCCATCTCATTTGTGTCCTTTCAAACACTCAACGTTTAAGGCAGTACACAGTGTCTCATATGTTTTATGAGTCCAAATGACGGTATGAACCTGTAATGATGGAAAGAAGAGGACCAGAAGTTACAGGACCTAGGTACCTGTTTTTCTTTTCCCCTTATCACATTAACCATGGTCCTCAGATTTCTTTGCTTCAAAATAAATGAGCTGTAAATACTTGAACGTAATTACTGAAAAGTAAAAAGTACTGAAGAGATCAAAGTGCCTTAAGTAAAGGGAAAAAACTTCAAATGGAACACTGTCTTGAAAAATAAAACCTTAAAATTGTAAGGTAACATGAGTTGAAGTTTTGAACAAAATTTACGGTAAAATTACATCTCTGATAAGTTCATCAAGCTTTACATATACTTAAAAACTGTACACAACTCTGTCAATGTGACAGAGTCCATTAAATTTTACATTTGAAGTTTACAAATTTAAGTGTGATATGGCTATTTTTTGAGTAACAAAGTTGTTTTACTTTTTAAAAAATTATATATCTTTTTATACATTTAAAAGATTATTTTAATAAAATATTAGAAGATTAAATGAATAAATATGAATTTGCCTCTTATGGCATAATTTTTCAGACAAAACCCACTTACAACATAACTGTTTATGTCTGACTTGAGGAAATACTCCAGAACGTTACCATTTTTCCAAGAGCCTCTATGAATCTAATTATAAAATTAAATCACTGTCGCACCGACTGTCCCTATTATATCACTATCCTTCTTATACTTCTGCAAATTTCCTTATTTCTCATCAGGTTGCCTACAATATTCGCATTGCATAAACAAGGCTTTCGTGGACTTTGTAGAATTCTGCATTTTGTGCAACTGACTTCTCACTCTGCAAACGAATGATGGATGGATATGTTACACTGGATAATCCCGACTCGTATGCTAATCAATCAGGAACATGAGGAGTAAAGATGACAGGGCAAATAACCAATGATAAATTTTATTAGTGATCAGTTCACTATAGAAAATAATGTCATGTTTTGACAAGATTGCTTTTCTTAAATATGTAACCACTCACATTGAATAAAATACAAATAACAAGACTATAACTACAAATAGGAACGTGAAGTGCCTCAAAAAAAAAAAACCCATAAAATCACTGTTTCAAGTTTTTAAATTAAGTTAAAATCTAAACTTATTTAACCTTCTTGAAATTGCGTTGTTTGGGGTAATTTCCATTATAGAAGATGGTTTTCTCTACTTCACTCTCAACTGTTACGCAAAATTTAAGGCCTGAAGTTGACTGACACAGATTTGAAATAAACTCACCTCTGTCCATCTACTGTACAAACAGACACACCCCACAAGTCAGGACTGAACTTGGCCAGTTGAGGGATATAATCTGCAACCTATCCAAGATATTGGAAAGAAATCAACAGTCACACTGTAGACAAATAACATTATTTTCTACCAACAAATGTCTTCACTTTGACTTAGCTTCTATCAATGACTAGTTAGTTGCCTTCCAACATGCAAGAACCTCGTAGTCTATCTCTTATAACAAGATTTGTGGAACTAAGGGCACAAAACACTTCAAGACTAGCGTGAGATTAAGTGACTTCTCCTACCCTCTATTATTTGTTTCCCAATGTATTTTTTCTTCTTAAAAATTCAGGGAACCTAAGAGAAGAATGTGGACTTGATTTTTCCTAAAAAGAAAAGTACAGAATTTCCTTAATCAAGGCCATTAGTGCTGGTAGTTTCACCATCTAAAAAATTAGGAATCAAACATCTGAAAATAACTAATGTGTATACACTGAAATAATCAAGAGGTTCTATAACCCTAAAGCTACCAAATCTAAAACAAATGCAAGGCAAGGCTTTCCAGATGGAGATTAAATAAGGGTTCACTCTGAAGACTAAATGGAGCAGCCCTGCCACTATTTAGAGGATTTGGGGAAGGACCTTGACAGTCCAAGCTCAGGCCTTGTTCATCATAGGCAAGTGCTCTGCTACCAATTACACCACCATCCCCTAGAGGAGTTTTAAAAGCTATAAACAATTCATTTTATGTTCAAGGATATCACATATGCAGAAATTTCCAATAAGGCTGTTTTTTAAATAGTTAAAAGCCATCTCAGTAATTTGAAAATTAAAAAAAATTTAGGTTTAGTCAGAATATCCAAGTTAAATTTTTAAAATATTTTAAAAACTACTAAATCCAGCCACTTACATTTTTTAGTTAGCCAAATTAAAATGACACGATTTTGCTCAGTATACCTCAACTGGAGCTGAATTTATTAACCACTTAACAGTTTACCCCAGGCATCACTAGGACAACACGTCTGTTTATGTGAGGACTGCCCCAGCAGGGGACATTTCCACCAGTTGATTCCTGAACTGAATTAATTTGATAAAACTGATGTTTTTATATTTCCTTGTATCTTATAAAAATTAATGAAAAAATATGCAAATTTTAGTCATCTTGTATTTAAATAATTGGACCGGTAAGTGGTTCAGTGATTGGGTTAGGAAAATATGAACACCAAAAATGCTACCTTTCCTCCAGACTGCTTTTTTGCACTTTCAAACAACTCATCAATGTGTGAGGTAAAGGCCATAAAGTCAGGAATGACAAACTTTCTTCGAAAGGCTTGTGTCAGCAGAACAATGTTGCTCTGAACACACCTGTGGGATGTAAGACAACAGTTAATAGACGGGGTACCTTTCTACTATCGGTGTCTAGTAATAATAGCGCTAGGTAGGAGAATATTAACCCCATATTTAAACAATAAAAAAATTCATCATTTCATATAACTAAATTATAAGTTATACTTTCTATGTTATTTTGTTTCCTTCCAGCAGTCTTTCATGTAGTTGCTTGTAAGCTGAACAGGTTAGAATTTAATTAGATATACTCAAAAACCGTATCATAGATTAAAATGATAGAACATTCCCACCAGGTCTAAGTATTAAGACCATCCGAAACAAGTTCCTTGTCCTACCAAAACTGATAAACACTCAGGATGACATTTGCTTAACAAAAATCACTTTAAAGTATCCTAGATGAGATCTGTGTATTTCTGAAATTAAGTAACTTCATACATATATACCTCTTAGCTCCCATATAACTAGTGCTAGTATTTTTATTTATTTTTGTTTGTTTGTTTATTTTTTGGGTAACAGGGATCGAACTCGGGTGGTTCTGCTTGAGAGGCAGGTGCCAGAACCACTGAGCTAAATCCCCGGCTAGTGCTGCTATTTTTAAAAACAATTAAATATGCTGCATATTCACATATGTCTCCTGAATTAGTTATTAAAAATTTGTATTTCTAAGTTTAAAAATCAGGGAGCACACATCAACAGTTTAGTCTCGATGATGATGAATTTTCTTACATGAAATATTTGTTGAATACTTGTAAAAATAATGTATTTAAAAACAAATCTTCATACAGAATACTTTTATATTACAGTATCTTAAATCACTAAAAATACTAAATTGTATTATTCAACTTGATACATGTATCATACAATAAAAACATACTGTTAAAACTATTTTAAAGACATGGTAAACCATGTAGATGGGAGGGCATATGATTTAGTGATATGAACCAATATTGTGCTTTGCTTTAAAGTTAGAATAGGAAATCAGTGTGTTAAAGTGTTGTAGATTACAGGCAACTTTATACTTTAAGACAGAAATCTTCTGACTCTCCAAAACTCAGTAATGGAATATTTATTTAATAGATAAAGGCAAAAGACATATGGCCATCAAGCCACAATACCAACTATAATATTAAGGGTGAACCTTTAATAAATTAAAAAATTCAAATGTTGACAGGTGAAATACTAAAGTCATGCCAGGCTTGATGGCGCATGCCTGTAATCTTAGCACTCAGGAGGCTGAAGATCACAGTGAGTTCAAGGCCAGCCTGAAATAGAGGGAAACCCTGCCTCAAACCACCCCCACAAAAAAAGAAAAAAAATTAAAGTTGAATACTGTGAGAAGTTATTTGTGTAACTGGACTCTTCACAGGTAAATAAGGTGGTACTATATTAGCAGCTTCTTTGAGGAAGGAGAAAAAACAAGCATAAAAAAGTAATGACTTACAAGTACTAGTTATTTTGTTTGATCCTTAAAACATCAAAATTTTGCCCACTTCACAAATAAGAAAATGAGAGTCTAAGAAGTTAAATAATGCACTAATAAATGGAGAAATGAAGTAACTCTCAATACTTCTTCTGTTAAGTTGGTGGTAAAATTTTTAAAAATGTAAACCTCAATATTTTAATTGAAGTTCTAGATAAATATCAAATTAAAATTAAATATTTTAAATACTAATAAAACATTTTAAATATTAAAAATTTTAAATAAAATTTAGAATGTATTTATTTGGTCAACTTAAAATTAACATAAGTTTAAAATAAAATCCTAAATAGCTACTGTATCCACAATAAGGATCCACTATTACAACATAAAAAGTTATAGTTATTTCATTATCATTATAGAAGTAGTACTAGTTGACATCAGAGACCTAAGAAATTTAGGTCAATAAAATTTACTTCAATAAACTTTGACAGGTTTCTAATCTTACTCTTTCAACCTTACTCTAAAATATATTATCATTGCTTTAATATTTAAAATGCTTCAAATACCTTCTAAAATTTAATCTGAAAATATCAAAACTGCAAGGGTTGCGTATATACCAAGAACACCTTGCTCAAAAGAACGAAGGGTAACTATCCAGCATAAATTACTATTTATCTCCATATCATTCAATACATTTCGTCATTTTTCCAGAAGTTATAACTAAGAAAATGAGATGTGCTACGCAAATTTAATTAATCTATTATTTTAAGCCAATCAAGATTTATAATTGTACAGTCAGAAAACCTCTGGAGTTTTTGTTTTGTTTTTCTCTAGCAGAAGCACGTGGCAAAGCCATAGCAACAGCCTTCACAGCCAACCACCATGATGGACAAAGTCATTTTTATCACTCTAGGTAATAGATAATACTGAGGGGCTTTCCACATACTAAAGTTCTTGAGAATTATTTTAACATAATTATTATCAGTCTAACTAAAAACACTAAAAGTTACATAAAATGAACTCTGACGAAGTGCTCACACCTTTCAGCACGCAACAGTCTTCTCTGTGCTTTGTTCAGTTTTTCTCATCTGTAAACTGGTAATAATCATTTTCTTTCCTTCTTTAAATGCTTATGTCTAACAAGTAACATTCATCAGCATTTTACAAAATATTTCACATACGTAATTTTCATTAGTAAAATAACATAATAGGCAAGAATTTTTTAAGAAAACCAAATAATACAAAAAACGTAAAAAAGACCATTCAAAACTTTCTCCAACACCAAAAAAGACCAAGAAACAATTACACATAAAAATATTTCTAATACCTAAGGTTAAAAAAATTCATGAATAAACAAAGGATTAATTTTAACATAAATATTTCTATTTCTATTACTTTTAAGGATTATTAGCACTAAAAACAACTGACCACATAGATGGGTACAGGCAGTCTCCAACTTTCAAATAGATTAGACTCCCAAAAGTATGTCAGAACTCATTTTCCCATTGTGGGGTGGGGGGAATCACACATAATAGCTGTTTGTCAGTTACTTACAATGGCCAAATATATTAGCAATGTATTTTATGTAAAATATCAACACTGATTTCAACCAAACCTATCCACCTCATGAATTATTTTTCAGGGAAAATGAATGCCAGGTTTTATCATGTCCTCCCCCTGCTGCATGGAGATGAGAATTTATTCCTGGCAAGACTAACTAGACAATTTCTTACATTTGAAAACAGAGAAAGAATGAATTTCTCTTCAGTACTCCTCCCTCTTAGGTGACTTTAACAGTCAAAAGATTTTGAGTGCCCTTGTTCTAGGGATGAAAAGGCAAATCTGTCTACTGTCTGCTCTTACAACAACTAAGCATTTGTCAAGTTAGGAAACTGCCTATATTACAACCACAGATTTAAAAACTTGGTTTAGTGTTTAAATTATGGTGATTATCTCACTATTTACAGATAGAAGATTTTATGATTGTGATTCCCTGGCTTAAAATCAGAGTAAAATGCTTTTAATTTCACATTTAAACATAACAACATGTTTATAAGGCACAAAAAGCATTTGAACAGTGTAAGCCAAGTATAAAGTGCAGCTTCCACCTAAGACGCCAAAGCAGCTCCCCATACCTCGTACCCACGGATCCACCTACCGTCTCACAGCTGTGCTCAGGGAGCCAGCCAGCGACATCCCAGGCGCACCCTGAGCAGAGACTGTGGAGACAGCTCATGCATAATAAAAATTAACTAAAGGTGGTTAAAAAGGCACACACAAGTAAGTCCAGAAATAAACTCCCTCCCTCCACAAAGAAACAGGTTCTGTAGACTCAAAAAACTTTTTTTCATACTGGCGATTGAACTCAGGACCTTTGCTTGCAAGGCAGGCGGTGACACCACTGAGCTAAATGCCGGGCTCTAGACTCAAAATTTTTAATGCCAATTACAAAGTGGACCTATTGTCTGCACATTAAGGTCAGCCAAGTTAACAGAACCAAGAACTTCCTGGTAAAAAGAGAAAAATAAAAAAGGCCAGCAGTGCCTCAGAGCATGTCAGGGCATTTCAGAGAACCTCTGTTAAATACTTATCCCTAATACTCCAAGGCACTCCCTGGAGGTATCCAGAACAAAGCAACCTCCAGAAGAAAATGCTGTAAAGGTAAATCACACACATATAAACAAACTTTCCAAGCTGATGCAGAAATTTTCTTTATCTACCTGAACCTGAGCCTAATGGTTAGAAAAGTCAATCTCTTCTGGTGGTGGTTATAGCCTTATGCTAGTTCCCACTGAACTATTAGTAGATTACCATTTGAGCCAGGCCTGTTAATCCCAGCACTCTGGGCAGCTGAGGCAGGAGGATCACAAATTTGAATCCAGCCTGGGCAAATGAGCAAGACTACCTCAAAATTAAAAGAGGGCTGGGGATACAGTTCAGTACAAGGACCCTGGATTCACTTTCCAATACCATAAAAAACGAAAACTTTATGGAGTCTTTAAGATCCATTACAAATATGTCATCCATATTTTTATATAGTCAAGCTAATAGGAACACAGGAATGAAGATAAATGATGAACAGTTAAGCAAAAATAAAAAAGTGAAAATACTCCTTGTTCAAAGAAATGAAGGCTTTTTAATCTCCAAGGTTCTCTTCAGTTTTTAAAGTAAGTGCTTTAAGAGAAAAGAAAATAGTCCAAAGTCTATGCATTAATATGTCTGAAGAATGGAGAGAAGCAGACAATGCACAAATGCAAATCTAAGGGATACAGGGCTGTCTGAAGCCGTCTCGTTTTATGATGTCATCTAAATCACCTTGCGAGAAAGAACGAGACACTGCTGCGAAGGCCTGAAAGACATGCAGATGGACTGGAGATCAATGAAAGCAAGGACAGAATAAAGATGTGCTCAGAACAAAAGATGTGCTCTATGCAAACTGAATGCCATCTCCAGGTACGAAACTTACATCATCCATCGCTAAATTTCCTTACAACAGATTTAAAGAATGCTTAACTCAGTACATATCATCATTCATGTATATCATCACTGTTGTTCAAATGATGCTTTTAAATCCCTTTTTTCATTTACACAGGAAGCACTGGACTTTCAAAGATGCAATTTTGTTTTAAAAGCAAATCACCATATAGCAGAGCAAATCACCATTAAAGGTTTGGCAGAAATTTTTACTTTTTAAAAAGATCTTTGTCTAGCATGACACCATCTGACGTTGTTTGAAGAGTTAATCTTAACATATCCATACACTCTTTCAACCTGGGATCAGACGTTCGCAATCCTGTAGATTTGAGTGCCTGTTTTTAAAAAAATAAGAGTTTGTAAATATATAGTGCAAATAATGTATATGCTTATTCCAACTACAAGTTTTCATTCCTGTATACAAAAACTTCTACCCAAGACTTGAATGTGTGGTATTTGTGTCACTACTACCCACTTTCTGGATAAGTTCCACACTGTTTTTCTTTCACTGTTTACCTTGAAATGAGCATGATAAAAATTTGAAAACATAGTAAGAGAAACAGTGTCAGAATCTACATGTCAGATGATTTTTAAGACTGTATTTCAACAATACTTTTGATTTAGCATAACTAACTTTTTATAGAGTTATGATAGAAAAATACAAAAACTTACTGTAATAAATTTATGAACGGGTATTTTTTCTTGTCCTTCTGCAATTGTATAGAACAGCAAATCTTCCAAGCTAGGTAACAGACCCTGTTTTATTTTACTAGAGGGGGAGGAAAAAATACAAAATTAATTCTTGTAGGTACATTCTAATGGATGTTAAGTAAAGCCATTATTAAACCATCTATGAACCAGACCACAGCTGAGCAGATCTATTCATCATGACTATAATCATAGTCACCACTGATTTTCTAAATGCCAATCAGTACTACTAGAAACCATGTTGAAAAACAAAAAATGCTTCATTAATATACAGATTATTTTTTGAAATCTTGACTACAAACTCTAGTATGTTAATGCCTAAGCATTTGTTAAAGAGATACAGTATACCTCTCCATCCAGTACAATCATCTAACACTAATTACAAACTCCAGTAAATGTTCACTCTGGTTGATTACGTTTGTTATGTTTTAATGTGATGACTATGTATTACTCAAATAGTGTACTATTACAAAATCTGGGAGTGATAGTACACAGTAGATAAGTAGTATAGTAGACAGTAGTTAAGATCAAGTGCACAAGTTGTTGAATCCTGGCTGGGATACTAGCTGCGTAACTTAAGGTAAGTTAACTGCTGTGATTCAGTTTCCCCACAAGAGAAAACAGGATAATAGTGTCTACATCAACTGAGGCACAGCTGACTCAATACACTTATACATCTAGGACACTACCTGGCAATGTAAGCACTCAAATCCATGGCAGTGGCAGGAATTCTTTCTAAAGCAGTAAGGATTTCACATATATAGATTAAATTCCACAAATCACATAAGACTATTAGAACAAAAAATTTACATTAAAATCTTTTTTTTTTTTCTTGGGGATGGGGAGACAAGATTTCTCATCCTGTAGTTAGGTAAGGTTTGGCCTCATTATGTAGCCCAGGCTAACCTTGAACTCATGGCAATCCTCCTGCCTCAGCCTCTTGAGTGCTGGGATTACAGGCCTACATCACACTAAAATCTTAATTAAAACTAGCATAACAGTAAAATGCTAAGATTCACCAAACTTTTAAACAGGAAAGCAATTTTCTTATCTACTGAAAAGCTTTAAAGTAAAAATAAATCTAATGAACCTAATAACTTTTCATTATTCTAAACATCAATGACTATCAAAACTCTTATAGCGATAGTATAAGAATAAGCAATCTAAGCTAGACTAGTCCATCTATTGCGATTTATTAAAATGTCTAGGAGAAATATACTCATGCATATTTGCATGTATGTATAGTATATACAGGGATGTATGAAATATTCAGGAGAGGACTGGACCTGTATTTTAGGAAAGGATTAGAGGAGAAAATACTTTCTGTTTTCTTAAATTTACAAATTAACATAGTTAACTCTGGGCTACTCACAGGTGTAAAAAAGTTTTGAGGAAAATTATGTACATTGCTTTTGTTTAAAAGTCACAAAGCTTAAGTCTGTGTAATATTATGTTTTTGTACTGCTAAAAAAAGCTTTTTTACGTAGCTGAACATATCCTGGATTAAAGATTGTATAATAGTTCCATATTTTAATAGAACCACATGTATTTGGATATTTAACATAATTACTTCTCTATTAGCAGGCCATGCATGTTCGTGCATAATCATACAAAATTTCTAAAAGAAACATTAATATTGGCATTGATACTTGTTTTCAAATCTTACACCTTTTAGCTTTATTAAATCAATCTTAACATACGTGAATTGATAAATCTGTGTTCCACACCTTTTTACCCCTTCCCTTGTATCTCCTTTCTAATTTATCTCTAAGATCCTCCAATGATCTTATGGCAGGCCCACTATTTATTATACAAAATATGCTACAGTTCCTGGTATATTATACTTAACCCTAGTAATTCTATCCCTATTTCACTGATGGGCAAACAGAAGCTTAGGGAGGTTAGAAAACTTCCCAAGGTTGTACTGTGGCAGAGACAAATTTAAATCTGGAGTCCCATCTACCACTGCAGTATACTGGTTCTCTAACTATATATTTATTACTTTTACAAGGTACAAACAAGTTTTCCAAGTCTTACTCTAACACCATTAAGCAGAGTTCAATAATACTGATGATTTAATTTTTAAAGAGAAGTTGAACCAGCTGTCAAAAAATCAGTGGATAATAACACACCAATTATTGACAGAAAATGATCTGCCAGGTAAACTTCAGATGGAAGTAGTTTATCATGTTAAAAAAAACTGCAGAGTAAGCTTTCTACATATTTATCACACCAGTAAATGGTATTTGCTTTGCCTAAAAGCCAGGTAAATAACATAAAATATACACTTCTTTAGCCTATGGTACATAGTGCAAAAAAAATTAAAATGACCGTGCTATTGCCATAGCTAGCAAAGAGTAAATATTTACTTGCTTTAGGACAAGAAACTAATTTTTATCCATAGAAGAATTTAAGCTGTGCTTTAAAAATATGCTCACAAACTGTCAAATGTACAAAAAAAACTACCTATCTCATCATTTAAAAGCTAAGACTGATCTGAGAAGAAGTTGGCTTCAACGGTCTGGTAAACAGAATACAAATTTTCTCCCCAAACTTTCAAAACGGTAGATCTTAACTCTAAAGATCTTTCTTGCTTTAGCCCTTCTTCTTTCCCCTAGTTTAACATCTTTATGCCTTCACAATGACATTTTGCTACTAAAATTCAAAAGCTATCATTTTTAATTACTAGGAAATCTGAGACATTTAAATTTTAGTATCAAAATATTATAGCAGTCTTTCAAGCTATACTATCAATAATCACTGATAAGTTCAAGTGAGCCCTCCAGACTATATATCATAAAATGGGTATTCACCAAAGGAAACCCAAAGAAAAATCCACATTTCATACCTTTTTACCCCTTCCCCTTTATTCTTATTTCCTAATTTATCTTTAAGATGCTTTTTACCATCTTATTGTTCCTTTAACCACATTTTCACAAGTTAGCCTCACACAGAAACTTCCTTAAAATTTTACAAAAATGGAAAAGTCCCTTTTATTTAACTCTGATATGTACTGCATGTCAGGCACTGTTTACAGTCTAGTTTACGGTCTAAAAGGGAAAATAAGAGGCACATATTTAAAGAAATTACAAGAAAAGATCTGTGAGATCTGGTCACTGGAAAATCACTTCACTATGGCCCTGTTTAGGTGTTATTTGAGCTAAAACTGAAAGAGGGGCAGGTGCTGGAAATGCAACAGAGTGAGGTTTCTGGCAATGGGACCCCACCCAGGGATGAAGGCCGGAACTCCCTGGTATATGAATCACAGGGGGTGCCAATGAAAGGGCCACTGTTTTCCTAATTTTTAGAGCTAATAAAGCGCTCTATAGATCAATAATAAATGAGGAGACTGTCACACTATGCACAAGGAGTTTAAATTCAAGGCCAACTTCTGCTGCTCTTACTTACCTACGGACCCATCAGTTTCCCAGTTACAAAGGAAGACTGACTCTTCTGGCTCGTACTCAGTTCTCACAACGCAGCTCTGCACTACCTACCTACCCCAACTTACCACTTAGAATTTCTCAATATAAGTGACCAGACCTACTGACCTGTGGGGACGTCAGATGCTTTCTCATTTGGTTGTCTGTTCTCCCTCCCGTCAACCTTCTGTTTAAACTTTTCTTTCTCTAAACCTTGAATGCATTAACGATCATTCCAACTGTTTCACAGGACTTTGTCTGGCCAGATTCTCAATACTTTTAGCACTCAGTTCCTGACTTTGAGAAGTTTTCTACGTTTATTATACAGCTTATTATGTACCAAAGATTGGGGATACAGAGATGAATAAAGCGAGATTGCTGTCCAGAAGGAGAGGAGACAACAGTAATGTGACAATACTGTGGTAGAAATATTTTTAAAAGGATAGAAAATGTAAATGAAGCAGTTAACTGTGGTTCTGATGGGAGGGGACAGTCTAGAAAGTTTCTCATTTGTAATTAGAAGCGACACTCCTAATTCAACCTATCAGTTCAAAAATCACACAGACTGAAAGGAAGAAAATGAAAAATCTTTCCTTAAAACTACAAAATGAACAGAGGAAAACAGTCCAAGCTATACTACAAATCTTTTTTCTTAGCCCATGTAATTCTTAAAACATAATTTATGATATGTATTATATAATAAGCCTATCAGATAACCAAAATCTGTCATTTTTTTCCAAGTGTAATTTTAAAAGTATAGGTCTACTAACAATACTAAAGAATGTGCTGGCTTTTTCTGCTTATTTTCATTTTAAACTTATAATCCTGGCCAGGCCTCCAGGCCTATCCCAGCACTGTTGAGGCAGAAAGATCTTAAGTTTGAAGCCAGCCAGGGATGGACTGCAAGGTGAGTTCAAGGGCAGTCTGAGCTATAATGAGCTTTCCCCAAAATATTAGTAACATTAAAAAAATTTTAAACAATAAAAATTATGGTTCTTAAAAAGCCCTTGAGATAGTTTTAAAATCAGATTTTTTTTTTTTTTTTTTTTTTGGAGACAGGGTCTCATTATGTAGTCAAGACTGACCTGGAACTCACTATGTAGCCCAGGCTGGTCTCGAACTCACAGCGATCCTCCTGCCTCAGCCTCCCGAGTGCTGGGATTACAGGTGTGCGCCACTACGCCCGGCTCTGATCAGTTTATTATTTAGTGACTTGATTCATAACAAATCCATCAACACCCACCAAATCAGTAATTAAACCTGTCAGGCTGAAAGCTGCATAGACGGTGGCTACGTAAAATTATTAATACTATATCAGAATAAATATAAGTGTGACAAAGTGACAAATTCTGCTATTTAAGTCATTTCACTTTGGGCTAATTACTCTTGGAATTTTTTTTTTAATTACTTAAAGCTTTATTTTAAAAAGGACTTTCACTTTCTGTTGTCTTATGAAGCCAATTAACTCAACTGTCCTCTATTTACAGGTAATGCCAGAGTCTCAAGTCAAGCAACACGGACAGCAACACACAACTCCCTCAGGGAGCTGCACAGAAGTGCCGCTAGTGAGCTTGGCCCTTTGGTCTGGGCCCCAGACCGCCACACTGACATGCTCAGCGGGAAGTGCTTCATTTTAGGA